AAATTTATAAAACTCAAATTAATAATTTTTAAAAATTAAATTTAAAGCACAAACAGTTGACTTATAACCTTCTTGTTTGATTTTTCAAGCTCTCTTGATCAAGAGGTACTTTGCTAGACAAAGATCCCGTCTTATGCTTAAAATCTTGGTTACTGTTTTAATTTAAACCATCAAACATCCAGACATTTTTCCTGGACCTCCTCTGCAATTTGAATGTTTCTCTGCACGTGCCATGAAAAGATTAAACCATCGTCTTTCTTTTTTCTTTTCTCCTTCAATTTGCTTTCTATTAGCTTGTGCTAAAGTTGCCCTTTTGATTCTGAAGAAAGGCTATTGCTTTTTTGGTTCTTGCGAGCGGGATGAGATTTCTGCACCTCCCTCCTTTTTATGTCTTTGTTATTTATATATTTGCATTGTGAATCAGTGAAAAATTAGGTAAAAAATGGATGAGTTTTCAGTGGTGTTCTTGGAAGATTCTATTGATTGAAATATTGTTCTTGAGCTGGTTCTTCATCGCCTGGTATCTTGGCTGAAAACAATTGAAGGAAACCACCATTACCCATGAATGAACATGCTTGGAAGCTCAGATGGGAATTGTGATGCTTCTTTGGTCAAATCAACAAGGCATTTCAGTTTTGTTCATTGTATGCTTTCTAGTATATAGCTCATTTCATGTTTTTTCTTTTTCTTTTTATGCATGTCTCCCTTTAATTTCTTCTTGCATGGAACCGCCTTGTTCCCTTTTTACTGGCTAGTTTGAGAGTAACTCTTTCTCAAGTTATTAATCATTGCTTAGCCTAGCAGGTTGAATTTAAAAAACTTGTGACATGAAATCTGACCCTTTTAGGTTTCAATTTGAGTAATAGAAAATATCGACTCCATTAACTTGGATAGATGTGATCCAAATTTAGTCATGTTAACATTATTAAGTTTTTAAATAATAAAATAATATTATTTTAATAATAAAATATTGATTTAAATATATCCCATCCAAACTCAGTTATGTAACATTAGAATATATTTTTAAAAAATAATAAAATAATATTATTTTAATTAACAATTATTAATTTGAATAAATCTAATTCAAATTCAGTCATATTAATATTATAAAAGTTTTAAAAAATAATTGAACAATGTTATTTTAATAAAAAATATTAATTCTAACGCGACATTAATACAAAAAGAAAAAACTAAATCTTTTTTCACGGCAATATCAAATATCAAGTTAACGAGAAAGTAGATGCATATTTGTTGCCATTACCACTGTAGCTTAATAAATACAATTTCTTTCCGATTAAGTTTTTAATTCTAGTTGAAACTTCACTTACAGATTAAAAATCCAAGGCAATATTGTTAAGAATCTTGTTTAGCCACCAAGACTCCTTGGCCGGTGCATGCCACCTAATTGTTCCAAGGAAGTTTTCTCTTCGGCTCCAAAAAGTTATGAAATAATGGGTTGGGACCCCATTGTTCAACTGAGTAGGAACCTTTCTTTTCGAGTTTCCACGCCGGTGAATGCTCCTATTTTGAAAATTTGTAGTGTTTTTGGCCGGGGGGAGCCGGTCAGTGATCCATTGACAGTGGCAATGGATCATTAATCAATCAGTTGATTATGGAAAAATAACATGAGTTTTTATCGGTAATGGTTGCTTTTTTTTTTTTTAGTTTTTGATATTAACATATTAAAATAATTTAAAAATATTAATTTAAAATAAAAATAATATATATTTTTTATTTTTTTAAAATGCAAAAACAAACAAATTCTTAGTATTTAAAGATTCAAACTTTAGATTTTTAAAGCAATAAAAAATTAATATAATATAATTATGGGCTCATCAAATATTATTATTTATTAAAATTATGATCTCAGTTTATAAAATTAAAATATTAAATGAAATTTAAAGAATAATTTTATATTCTCTAATATACACTATTAAATAAATAAAAGAGTTTTGTACTCAAAACTTATTAAAAAACACCATTACTTCATGCTGAGTTTTATTTAATTTATTTAGGAGACTGAGATGAGTGATACAAGATGATTTGGTTATTAAAATCTTGATATACCATGTAAAAAAATCAATCTTGATCCAACAATTTAAATTAATTTTAAAAAATATTTTTTTTTTATTTTCTAAAATCCTACTTAAATTATAGTGACAAAAACTTCAAGAACAATATCAAATTATTTCTCAGCTAAAAAAGTACAAAGGATCTCAATTTCAAATAGTAAAAAACAAAAACAACATAAAAAAAGATTTGCACAGTTGAACAATTATTTTATGGTATCAATCACAAAGAATCACAATATAGTTTTCACCCAACGACAATTAGCTTGGAAATAACTATTGTAAAAATGTGATCATATTCCACTAATTATAGCCTATGATAGAAAATGAGAAGAAGGGCCGTATAAGGGTGAGTGGAGATCATCATCAAAGTGACAAATAAACTTGTCCTATGCGCATAAAACGTCCATTTCATTGATCACAGGAAAATGAAACTTTATAACAAGGGAGATGGTACCGGTACCGTCCACATAATAAATATAAATTTAATAATTACTTTATGATTTTGAAATATAAACTTGATTATCATCAACTACCCTAATGTTCGAGTGTATATGTGTCTAGGCCCCATAAAAGAGGTGCCAAATTTTCGACATGCATGATTGATTTTTGCTTCTTTTATTGACCCTACTCCTCACTGATTGTAGTCATCTAAGAGAGAGAGGGAGAGAGCAGAGAAGCTTCCCTCCTATCATTATAAATAAAATGATTTAATTTTTTTTATATTGATTGACACTGTTGTGGTATCGTTTCCGGTTCTAAAATCCCTTTATTTGACTTTTAATTCTTTAAAGTAAAAATGAAAGATAAAATGTAGTGTAAATCTTATAAAATAGAATAAAATCACTTGTGAAGCAATTAATAATTGTGCTCCTAACCTATTTCAAGCCTATGAGGCATGCAAAGACACTCAAGTTCTGCTCATACACGCCTCATCGTCTCTACAATGACTATCGAAGAAGATCTCTTCAATCTGCTTTATTAGAAATAAAGCCAAAGGGGTGCCATTTATTCAAATTCTTGGACTTACTACCTAGCACGAGAAGATGCATTGGCAAGCACCTTAAATTAAACCTCAAATTGGGCAAGAAGTTAATTATATCTCCCATGTGGTGGCATGTCCTATTCTAACAAACCCACCCATTTGAGTTCTATAGTCAATTACCTTTATTTTGAATATGTGTAGCGGCTAACATGTTGATTATGTATTTGTCTAAGTGATCAATTATTTGTGTTTTAAATTATGATTAAATATATAAAAAATATTATAATTTTTTGCATGGCTAACAATCGTTTAAAACACTTTAAAATGCATCGAGATTTTTTTTATTAGTTTTTTTGTTGTTGTTACTACTAACCTACAAATCATAGCAAACTAGGGGGATCCAAATTTTATTCCCATTTGAATTCTTACATGAAATTAAGAACATCCACTTAATTGCATGCTACGTGATATGTTTTCGAATCACTTTCTATTATTACCCTGCTTTTGGACATTAATGAAAAAAGAGTGGTTGGATTAAAGAAACATATTTGCTACAATTAAGGATTAAGAATGTAATAGAAAAATCAAATAAATAAATAACAATAGTTTTGAGAAATTCCAAGATAAAAAAAAATCGATAAATTTCCTGGGACAAGAAAGAGTATGGTGTTTCAGATCATCTAAAATATTAAGTACACATTGTTTTCACTATCGACACTTTTTGGAACGCAGCTCGATTCATGCATCTCTTTTACCATGTACAAGTTCCTCTTTAATCCAGCTACACAGGCAAGTGATCAAGGCAGAAATATTTAATCATGCCCTCCTTCCTTTTGTTTTCCCCTCATGCCCTCCTTTTCCTTTGACGACAAAATGCCCTAATATTGAAGCCATATTTTGGCTCATCCCACCTCCCATGCTATGAATTGACAGGGATAGAGCCTGTGTTTGAAAAGGTCAACAAAAGGGAATGAACATAAAATTCACGAGGAACCCCTTCTGCGATCAAAATTAAAGAAAAAAAGGGAACCAAACTAAATCGCCGCCCGTAATCAAAGAAGGGTGAAGGATGTTCCCCTCTTCTCAAATGCTAATTTGTTGATACGCTGTTTTCATTAGTTGTTTCAACTCCCATCAAGCATTTAGATAACGTTTATTTATTATCTCGTAACAGATAAAAGAAATAAGAATAAAAATATATTTAATTAAAAAGACACGAACAAAAATAAAAATATTTTTAGATAGTTTTATATTTATTTTTTATTGTTTTTAATGTCTCAATTTTTTATATCTCAAAACAGTGACCAAACTATGCTAAAATAACATATATACTCTTCCTACTATTAATGAAACGAGTACACTAATTAAAAGTTGGAATAAGTAAAGCATTATCTAATCGGCTGGCTAAGGAAATTAAATGGCCGTAAGCCTAGCTGATAGCTCTACAATAACCACCTCTATGCGCACACAAAAGGACATGGAAAGGCTTCTATCAGGGATAGTAGCCTAAAGTTTAACATTTTTTTAAATGGTTTTTTTTTAATATTTGAACTGAAAAATTGCATCAATGTTCGAGTGCGAGAGATTTCACATTGAGAAGTTTGGGACCAAACTACTTCGGCAAGGAGAATCTCTGCACTGAATCATGGAAAGGAAACAGACAACCATGCAAAGATTTGGTAAAAGAACAGTGATCAAATTGGTGAAAAAAAGAAAAAGAAAAAAAACAGCCAGAGAACAAGATAAGGAAGAGGGGCAGGAAAACCCATGTGCCTCTGAGTTTCATATAATGTAAATGTCTAACCTGATTTTTATGGGACAAGCATTTTCATGAAATGAATATCATGTGGGGTCAAAAAGACATGAATAATCAATACATGATTTAAGTCACAGGGAGATGTGGCTTCGTGGATGTGACTGTGCACTGGTGCATTTGTCTGCTGAGATGGTGATGATACCTCTGATTCTAGGGTTTATTAATGTTGCTTCAAGTCTTTACAAATAGTTTGTTGGTGGTTAGTTAAATAGCAGCAGGGCACCACCAAGTTGCTCATGTTTCTTAACATTACACGGACATTTTGTTAATCAGGAAACAACAAACAAGATCGTGGAGGGTATCTTTAAAACCTGACAAGATCCTGCAGGTATTAAATAGTACCATTCACTGCTCTGATCCCATCTGTGATTCAATCTATCTGCTTGGAATCCCCCTCAATACCTATAGAAAGCGGCCCAATATTAAATAGTACCATTCACTGCTCTGATCTGCTTGGAATCCCCTTCAATACCTATAGAAAGCGGCCCAGGTTGTTTTCCTCGCCCAATTGAACTTATACAAGGCCATTTTGTGCAGATGAAACTGACCCATCTCAAAGAAACGAGTCCAACAGCCATCCTGGTTTGCCCTAGGACTAGCCTAGCTTTACAGTTGAACCTTGTGGGCTGTCAAACCTCTAGTCCATTGTTTCATCCGAATTTCAGCCCTGTGAGCCTCTGAGTGTTGAATGTTTTAGAACAGTAGAATACCGTCCATTGCTCTCCCCACTCTCTGCCATTAATGTCTTCATTTTCTCTACGCTCATATCTGCTTTGCAGTTGCCGCAATTTTGAATTAGCTTTCATTCATCTTACTGGTGACTTGGTTTTGTAGTTAGTGTTGAATCAGTAGGTACCCTAGCGCAAAAGAGTAGCTGCTCTTCCAGATTTTGATCTAATTCTGCATGCAAGTAAATGTGGGATCCAGGGGCTTAGTTTTAACCTTCGATTGCATTTGGTATGAATTACTGTGGACATGTATCACGATGCTAAATACCTCACTCATTTCATCAAGCAGAGGATGCCAGCCTCTGCATCATAGCAATCGAGGAGCATGCTCTATTAACTACCTGTACAATTTTGCTTCAACCATTCAAACTTACTAAAGAACAGACCAAGAGAGAAGCAAAACATAGAAAAAAGCAAAGGAAAGCTGGTGTGGATGAAATAAGATGACAGTGATTGAAATCAGATAAAAGCATTAACTTTTTGAAGGGGAGACTAAAAGAGATGTCAACCATTCAAACTTACTAAACAAGCATGCATGTACCATTTTCACAACCATCACATATTCACAATGTGGAAATCACAGAATGGAGTAGTTAAATGTTACCATAAAGCATGTATGTAAATAGAATGGCCGTCCCTCGCAGCTACCTACCACTTCAAAATCCAAAACCGAGAGTTCTCTGTGGCAATTGTTTAAGGTCTTAAGCATAGATCACGTTCCACACTAGCAGAAAAATTCTACAAATGTATACAAAACTAATCAAAATAGATATTTTCAATAGCAAAACAAGCACAAACCGAATCAAGCTATAGTTATGCCAGCCAATTGACAACGACTATTTCTACCAAGAGGAGTAAACAAATAAAAACTTTTCCACATCTTTGTGCCATCATTAAGAAAGAAAAGGAAAGTATTATTTGCAAGAGAAAAGGAAAGTAATATTTGCAATCTAATTCATCGTACAATCTATTCAGATAATCAAAACAAAAGACGGTAACAGTCCTTTGTGGCTGAAGTTGTATTAAGTGCAACCCGTATATACGACTCTGTGGGACACTCAACATTCTAAGTCCTATATCCTTATTAGTATACACAACAAGATCATTATTCCCAGCTTCAACATGTCTTGATGCAGTAAGATCAAAAGAGATGAAGAGCTTACAGATATTGTCTTTCCCTCTGGTTATTGAGCTTGAGAGGCAGATGGCACGATGGCTTCCACCATGTCCATTGCAGCATCTGCCGTATTATTTGTGTTAGCTTGACAATTTACTATTGTAGGGGTACGGAAGCATGGTGAATCTGACTGACACTGTAGATTCATTAGCCCACCAGTGGACTGCGCTCCACAATCACCTTCCTTCAAAACAGTGGTGGTGTTGCACTGGTTTTGGAATGGAAAAACACCCAACTCAGTGTCGATCTTTCCCCTCAGGTCCACCAGAATGCTTCTTAGCCTCAAAACCTCGGCTTCAAGAATTGCCTGCCGTTGTATTTTCTTCACCAGCTGCTGGTTCAATAAATGCAATTTCTTTATTTCCTCTTCTAAGTAAGCTGTATGTGCCTTCTTCTTTTCCCTATACTTTCGAACTGCTTCCCTATTTCCTGCTGGCCTTTTTCTTGAATGCTCTCTATTGTCTGGGTTAACATCTTCTTCAGAAGCAATGACTTGGGTGTGTGTGTGGTAGCATGTATGTGTATGGATTGCATCGGGGCCAGGAGGGTTGCAAGTGTGAGTGTGAGTGCATGTTCTCGTATTCTTCAATAATTCATCGAGAAGTGAATCCACAGACCCAGAACACTGCAAACTTCCAGAAGCACCGGGATCCGGTAACAAAACATGATCCGAAACCTCTACCTCCCCATCATCCATTTTATAATCTTTCATTCATTCCTCCAAACAACATGTACTTTCGGTCAGGCACCTCAAAAAATAGGAAATCAGTAAGACCAAAATATCCAACTTTTCTTTGATCAATCACCTCTACTGCTCTAACAAAGCAATAAACCTAACGCAAAATCGAACAACTTAAGCTTATAATAAACTAAAATCACCAACTTGTAACATAAAAGTGGGATTGCAATTTGCATGATTACTACCACCTTAAGAATATATGCAAAGGCAGAGTCCATACACAGAACATAACATTATAGCTTTCCACAATCTAAATTGTCAGTCACCAAAAAATTGAACAGCCCTCTTAACATTTCAAACCAACATGCAGAATCGAACCCCAAACTCAGTAAAAAGCTTTGGAGGATGAATTCATCCCAACAACAAAAGCAGCTTTCTTTCACTAATTTAAAGAAAACCCAGATGGAGATTCTTTAAAAGAATATAAAATAAAGCATAAAGAAAATATCTTGACATTGAAATCATTCAACAACAGATGAGAATCCAATAATCTTAAGCTTCAACTAGACAAGTGGTAGTACATAAAGAACATGATTTTACAGTGCAAGAATATCAACAAAAGCAAGAAACTGTGTTAGAAAGAGATAACAAGTTAGCTGTGATGCGCGCAAGCTGGCCGAACATCTACGTTAATCTAAAAAGAAATGACCAAAAGCAAGAAACTGTGTTAGAAAGAGATGGAAAGTTATTACCTGATCCAAGTGAAGATTCCGAGGGTAACAAGAAGCATCTCTCATGTTCTTCTCCATGCTTCCATTTTGTTTGTCAACTTGTGTAGAATTTGTCTAACGGCAAATAGTTTTTTCCCACTTTGTGCATCCTCATTGGTTGATTGACAACGGCCCTGTTATCTTGTGGACACAAATTGAGCTGCACAAAATAAAGAAAACATTGAGAAATGTAACGAATTTCAAAGAATGTTGAGATTGATGGGTAGTTTGGTGTCATTTTCGTTGTACCAACAATTTTTGATTAATTTTTTCAATACCCAAAGTCATTGCTCGTTACTTAATATTTTAGAGAGCTACATTATATATTCAGCAATTTGTGATTCGTGCATGTATTCCCATTTTTCCTCGAGTTATTAAAAATAAATAAATAAGTGTGAATAAGAAATATTTCATAAATACATCATCAATGAAGATATCTTATTATTCTACTATAAAGAATGTTTTTAAATAATTTACGTGTTAAGAGAAATTAAATTTTTATAATTTATGGTATTTTTAGTAATGGTATTCAACCTATTTTTTTAAATATTTTACTTGAAAAAAATATCAAATTAATTTTTAAATATTTTTTGATAATTTTAATATACTAATTTTAAAAATAAAAAATTATAAAAAACATGTATTTTTGATTGAAAAACATTATGCATCGCTAAATGCTCCAAATATAAACACCAACACGAAATTTTGAAATTTAATTAAGAAAAGACTTTGTCCCAGTTAAAAAATAATCCTAAAACATATACATATCCCAATTTTATCTCGAAAGAAAGAAAAATTGCCAATCCAGTAAATCTCCTCTACTTCAAAAGGTTATCTCAGTATTTGAGTAAAACTTTTTTATATGTAAAAAGAAGCTGATCATAGCTTTTGGTGTTGTTATTGGAGATTATTTTCCTTATATTCACTTGACTTCTATTTTCATCTCAATCTGATAATTTCATAGCAGCTTAGTTAACAAGATTTATTAGCAAACATCCCAGATTTTATCGGAGAATTTTTGTTAAGTTTAATTACAATAAATCTCTTGGGATTTGGTGTTATTTAAATCAATTCCTAAACTTTATAGTATCTAAGGCCTGAATTAACCCTGCTGTTGAAGAAGAATCAAGATAGGCGAATTCTTTCTATCAAACCATTTCTAGAATAAATAGTCGATTGCAAAAAATAAAATAAAATTTAGGGAGCTAATTGAAAAAAACTTTTGCAGAACAGATCACAATGATTTTCTTTGAGGTAGTTAGTTGTTAATTACTCAAGAATCTAGAGGCACAGATTAGTTTTGTTATCTTATTTTATCAAGAAAAGTTTGAAATTGGCCACTCTACAATGATTCCCAGATGGTCCATTGGCTCTCAACATGTGATCCATGGGCTTGTTGTCGACAGAGATGGGTATAGCGGGAAAGGGACCTCAGGCCACCAAAGCATTGAAAATGCAAAACGGTCTCAATCTCGAGTACAAGAGACCACAGATCCATCCTTGTTGATTTAAATCTAAGAAAACAAGCATGAGGGTAACTTGTGGAGATCACATCACGGACAGATTTCTATCATTCTATCTCCATGATGATCAAGGCCAAAAGCAAAAAAGAAAACTTGGCAGATAGTGGGAGTCGATCATCTCTTTGTTGATTGCAAATCATAATATTGTATTCATATCTTCAAAATTTTGAAGACTAATAGATTTTTACGTGCTAAAGTGTGTGCATGTATGATGTATGGATATGGTGAAGCAAAAGAATTCCCTCCGTGATGGTAGGAAGCTTTCATTAAGTATAAGAAATAGTACAAAAAGCAGTTCCTACTGCATAATTCAACAAGGATATCTTCTTCAACCTTTATTTTAGAACAAAAACACTTTATATAAAAGAAATCCCAAAGACTCTCACAAAAAGCCGATCAAGTCATGAGCTACTCTCGTTACAATTTGGAAGAATGAATTAATCAATAAAAACACACACACAAGCTTAGTGTCCTTCGGGTGGTGAAGGAGGTGAAATATGGAACATAGTCACACGAATAGGGTGGAAGGTATTTTAATAAAGAGGAAAGGGAGGAGATGGTGGGGGTGGTGACTTGTAATAGTATGGAGGTGGAGGAGAAGGAGAAGGAGGAGAAGGTGACTTGTAATAGTATGAAGGTGGTGGTGATGACGATGATAGAGGAGGTGATTTGTAATAGTATGGGGGAGGCGGTGAAGGTGAAGAGGAGGTGATTTGTAATAGTATGGGGGAGGCCGTGAAGGTAAAGGAGGTGGTGGTGATTTGTAGTAGTACAGAGGTGGAGGTGACAGGGATGAAGGAGGTGGTGGTGATTTGTAATAGTATGAAGGTGGTGGTTGTGAAGATGGTGGAGGAGGTGATTTGTAATAGTACGGGGGAGGCGGTGAAGGTGAAGGAGGTGGTGGTGATTTGTAGTAGTATGGAGGTAGAGGTGACGGGGATGAAGGAGGTGGTGGTGAAGATGGTGGAGGAGGTGATTTGTAATAGTACGAGGAAGACGGTGAAGGCAAAGGAGGAGATAGTGATTTGTAGTAGTATGGAGGTAGAGGTGACGGGGATGAAGGAGGTGGTGGTGAAGATGGTGGAGGAGGTGATTTGTAATAGTACGGGGGAGGCGGTGAAGGTGAAGGAGGTGGTGGTGATTTGTAGTAGTACGAAGGTGGAGGTGACGGAGATGAAGGAGGTGGTGATTTGTAATAGTATGAAGGTGGTGGTGGTGAAGATGGTGGAGGAGGTGATTTGTAATAGTACGAGGAAGACGGTGAAGGCAAAGGAGGAGATAGTGATTTGTAGTAGTATGGAGGTGGAGGTGATGAGAATGAAGGAGGTGGTGATTTGTAATAGTATGAAGGTGGTGGTGGTGACTTGTAGGAATAATGTGGTGCTTGATAATGCTTTGGTGGTGGTGGAGGTGATTTGTAATAATAAGATGAATGCTTTATATGTCTTGGTGGAGGTGGTGACTTATAATAATACGGTGAATGCACTACACGTTTAGGTGGTGGTGATGGTGACTTGTAATCATACGGTGAATGCACTATACGTTTAGGTGGTGAAGGTGATTTGTAATAATAAGATGAATGTTTTATATATCTTGGTGGAGGTGGTGACTTATAATAATATGGTGAATGCACTACTACTTTAGATGGTGGTAGTGACTTGTAATAATAATGAGGTGTTGAAGAATATTTTGATTGTGGTGGTGACTTGTAATAGTATTTAGGAATAGGTTTTGATTTTTTTGGTGGTGATGGTGATGATTTATAAAAATAAGGTGGATGTTTCAAATATTTTGATGGAGATGATGGCTTGTAATAATATGATGGATAAACTATTTGTTTTGGTCTGGATAAAGGTGACTTATAATAGTACGGTGGAGATTTTACATACTTCGGAAGGTGAGATTTGTAATGGTGTGGAAGATGCTCAGCATGTTTTGGAATTAATGGCAACTTGTTCGATGGGTATTTGTAGATGAGCTGAGGGTGGTGAAGTGTTGGCGGCGGCGAAGCATTGATGTAAGGCTTGTAAGCGACTACACTAGTGGCTATGACGCAAAATGCCACTGCATAGACTAGCTGCGAAGGCCAATATCCTAGCCGTCCCCAAGTTCCCATCTCTAGCTGTTGAAAGTTGAAAGCTGAAAGCGAGAAATTAAGTTTTTAGTAGTCTATGTTCTGTGACTTGCATGGAGCTGCTATGTCTCTTTATATAGTGATCTTTCCTCCAGTTAGGCACATTTATATGTCAACCATTAGATAGTGGGCTTCCAATCAGAAACTAAGATGAGAGTTAATATGTTGGCCATGATGAAGTCAAGAATCCTGAGGAGCATCGGTGTATTCAATCATGCATGGCTGTTTGTCCCCTCTTGATAAGAGCAAATATTGCAATATTAATGTTTCAAAAAATGCAACTTGCTTTAAAACTATTTGTAATTGCTTCTCCACTCCCCCAAGTTTGCTCTTATAGTCATGTCTTCGTTTAAGTTTTATTGTCCACCACCAAGCCATTAGGAGGAAGAGAAGAGGAATAATGTTTAATGAATTAAATATATATATATATATCAACTTCTAGTTAGTGGCTTCCCAATAGGAACTTATGACAATGGATTTATGATTATGTCGAGAACCGTACAGCCTCCAAGTACTCGTGCAGTCGATCATGGTGGGTTTATTTTTTTTCCTGTCGACCAAAGGAGAGAAATATTATATATGATTGCTCGGAAAGCCAGATGCTTTATCTGTGATGGCTTTATCCGCTTCCCAAAGGTTGCTCTCCGAATAAGCAGATACGAAGAAATTGAAATTTATCTAGTAATTTGAGTTTTAAAGTTGTAATGTCTTGATGGAAACTAAAGAAATAAAAGATAGATTCAGAAAAGTTTCTGTGTTTGATATTTTTTTAGTACGTAAAGGAATATTCAATAAATTCTTGACTATTTATATAGCTCGAAATGATTTTATTTGCCGAAAAAAACTACTAATAAAGATAACTCTAATTTTATTTAATAAAATGAAATTAGAATTCAGATCCTTATCAGAACTTCTCAAATCGGTTGAGTTGCTGTTTCAAGGCTGTTCCTGCCACATATAAAGCCTCTTTAAGTTATAGGAAACTTAATCTCTTTTCCTGTCCAGTTGCCACAAGAGAACTGCCTCCGATTGGCGACTTATAGCTGCAAAGACTCCTCGAACCAGCCTAGTTTCTGGAAATTCCGATGCTGCCAATTCTTGGCTGATGTTTCCTTTGCTGCTGATTTTGGTTCTCGTCATGTTTCATTGACACCTAATCCTACGTGCATCTGCACTACTTGAGACGAGCTGGATCACGACATGCTACGTGAGAGCCCACCTGATTGTTTTTTGTTTTTTTTTTTTTTTGAGAGAATTCCTACATTATTCGACCTACATTATATCTCTAGTTATAACTCAAAGTACATGGCCTGTCTTGTATTTCCTAAGAATATCCTCATTACCTTATCTTTTGTTTGTAGCCAGCTAATTAAACTATATTAATCACATGTTTTTCAGTCAGAAGATACGTATTCAAGCAATCTTTGACCAAAATGGGTATACAAAGTCAATGACGTTGTACCTAATTAATAGTAATTCCTACTGCACTGAAATTTAGTTTTGGTATTGTCTTCAAATTAAAGTAAAAGTTGTTCAATGCATCATCCCGTTTGAACATGATCATACGCTTTTATAATTGCTAAGATATTTGCAATGAGAAGAAGGAAAAATAAAAGAGAAGACAAGTAGAGTAGAATCAAGCAGTTTAAAGAGGATTAATATATCGTGGTAAAAGAAGGGTATTCACCTTATTTGTTTTTGAGTTAACAAATTATATTAGTTATATAATATAATTTGTAAATCGATTCTAATTATAGTTTTTTTTTAAATTTTGAATTACTTGCTTTACACTATAAAAAAATTTGGCAAATACGAATTGAGACATCGATGCAATTTTTTCATTAGTATATTATGATGATCTTTACTAGGAAAATTTTCATTCTTGTATTCATTAGCAAACACTAAGAGAAAAATTCTCTCAGTATATACCAAAAACATTACAGTGAAAAATAAAAAATAAAAAATATTAAATAGTAAGATGACATGTAACTTGTACAAACAATATTATCGATTGAATTACAACCATAAAGTATGTCTGTAAATATACCAATGGTAAAATTCTCTTGGTACATATCAAGAGAATTACAGAAGGTATTACAACGAGATTCAAAAAAGGTAAATCGTATGGTGACGTGGTATTTATACCAAAAAATGACCGATAAAATTATTTTGCTAGTGAATCCATTGATAATATTTAATTTATAACATGGTGATCAGATCCCCACCCCCTCTCCCATTTCTTCTTGTTTCTTCTATATATATATTTTTTGCAACAAACACCTACCTCTTCCCCTCAATTTTAACACTTTCACAATAAATCTGACTACCACAACACTCAGCTTGTCAGCATTCGTATTCTAATGCAGATTTTATTAAGGATTCACCATTTAAGTAAGCAAATCTACTTTTTTTTTTAACTCAATTTTAAAATGTTATTTGTTATATATATATATATATATATTTGTAGTATATATATTTTGTTTGGGCATTTACTTATTTTATAGTTTTTTTCCATAGAAATTTGTTGTATGAATTTATGATTTGTACATGTTAGGGGTTTATTTTAGATTTTGAAAAATTATTTTTCATAGTAAATTGATGAAATTTATGTCAAATTTCTGACTTAGGTGTTTTGTAATGAAATAAATAATAGCTTATTTAATATGTTTGTTTTGTATTTTGTCAATTTTATTGCCAAGTTGAAATTTTCGGTAAACATATAGAAGTTTGAATTTATATAAATAATTGATAATGAATTAAGAGTATTATTAAAATATATTGAACAAGTTTGAGCTAAATCAATATTTTTATAAATTTATTTAGTTAATGTAATTAATTAATACATGTTGTCATCATTATTTTATATAAGTTTGATATAATGATGAATTATTATTCATGCATATATCGAGATTCACTTCAAGGGTTGCGGGGGATGAATTATTGTAATAGGATTCAAGGTTTTATTAATTATGCATTGTCTAATCTGAGAAATATTAGTGGAAGCGGTAGTAGATGTCCATGTAATAGGTATAAAAATAAAAGGTTTCTCGATCTAGAGGTTATAACGATGCGTCTTTTATAAAAAGGGTTCATGGAGAAATACCTTTGTTGGAATGCACGTGAAGAACCATACGATCCTCATGATACCATAATAGAAAGGATGGTTGGGTTAACTTCTAGTTCTAGCAATATGTATGGAGTTGTAGTTGACAATAGTAATCTTTAAAGAATATAGTTAAAGATGCGATAGGGATGAATCGGGATCATGCTCTTTTGAAAGATTGTAGGGAACCATTATGGGATGATTGCATAAATTATAGTAAACTATCGATTATTGCATAGGTATTCACCATCAAGTTAGATTAAGGGTTGAGTGAGGTCAGTTATGACAGTATTGTGGAATGAGCGAGAAGCATTTTACCTAAAAGAAATGGATTGAAGGAGAATTTTATACTGCTAAGTCCATGATGAAACTCTTTGGTCTAAGATACAAAAAAATTAACATGTGTTCAAACTTTTGCACAATGTACTACCTTAAAAATGCATAGTTGACCAAATGCAGAACATATGGGCATTCTAGTTATAAACCTAAAATTAGCAAGGGAAGGACTCTTGTCGCATATAAAAACTTAGATTTTTTATTATCAAGTATATGATATGATATTATTCACATGATACGGTTGATAGAGTGATGATGCACCCTTTTGATGGTGAAGCCTGTAAACATTTTAATAGTGTGCATCCTTAGTTTTTAGTGGAATCAAGAAACATGTATCTTGGGTTATGTATAAATGGATTCAATCCATTTAGGTCATTTGCTACTCTTTAATCTTGTTGGCCAACAATAATCACATTTTACAACTTGCCACAAAGGATGTGTAAGGGAATAGAGTTCATGGTTTTTTCTATGGTTATACCCGTTTCTAATAGTCTAGGTTAGAATATAGATTTTTATCTTTGATTGTTGATTGATAAGTTGAAATAGTTATGATCATCCGAGACTTTAACTTATAATATATCGAGAAAATATAATTTTTTTATGAAGGTAGCTTTAATGTGGACTATCAATGATTTTTCTACTTGTGGAATAATTTCTGGTTGGAGCACGTATGTAAAATTAACATGTCCATCTTATATAAAAAATAATAAGGTATTCATGCTAATAAACGATGATAAAACATTTTTTTTTAACTATTTCTTGCTAACAAGTCATAAATATAAAAAGAACATAAAAGACTTCTTTGTTAGCAGAGTTGAAAGGGATGTTGCACCACCACTTCTTTTGGAAGAAGAATTGTATGATATTGTGACATTATATTTAATTTTTAATCTAGTAAATAAAAGTTTTCTAGTTTTGGTTTGACCCATAATTAGGTAAAGTATTTTCTAGGAGCTTTCTTATTGAAAGACCAATCTCCTTTTTTATAACCTTGATATCATACACATAGAAAATAACATGTTTGAGAATATTTTAATACGATTATGGATGTGAAGGGAAAAAAAAAGGATAACATAAATACTAGAATGAATATAATTTTGTTTCGTCATCATAAATATGAAGTTGGTTTATGTTAGGTCACGGGTCACAAAGCCCAAAGCCAACTTTGCCTTAGGTAATAATGCATACTTACTTGTCTACTAATAGCTTAAAAGTATGTGTTTTCTTGATGAACATGCCTCGAACATATCAAGGTTGATGAATTTGAAGGATTACAAATTGTATGGAATGAAGAGCTATAATTGCCAGATGTTTATGTAAACACTCATTTCATTAGCTTACTAGGATTTATTGCCAAAGAAGATATGAAATGCACTTATGAAGACCAATCACTTTTTTAGAGATATATGCTCCAACAAGTTGTAGACACAACATATAAAGAGGCTTGAAGTGAATATCGTCCAGATAATATACAAACTTGAGATGATATTCTCTCAATTATTTTTCAACTCGAGAGAGCATCTACTCATATATTTACTGTTAGAGGTAAGAGTTGGAGGCCCGGTCCAATATAAATGGATGTATTCATTTGAGAGGTTGGGGATTACATATGTATCATAATTAATTTTTTGTCTTTTTTTGCATAATTCAAAACATTCATTTAATTCCATGTAGGTACCTATTCAACTTTAAGAGAAAAGTAAAAAACAAGGTTCATAGACTCTCTAACACTATATTCCAGAACTTGTGGATGACCCGTAGTGTTTTGATTGTTAGATGCTTGCAATTAGTTTTGAGCACTCAAACTCCAGAGTTCACAGTGATGTTAAACCTTTAGATGACCGAACTGTGTGTTGAGATAGTCAAACTTAATGATAAGATGGTCAAACTATGCTGAATGCCGATAGAGATGAGATCACATATGAGTGGTCCATATACTCCTCCTTATTGGCCCTACAGTACCGACAATGACCTGCCTCCTCTTCCTCTTCCAGCACCGCCTCTATTTTAGATTTATTTTATTTGAATGTATAAATGTATAAATTTATATTTTTTTTATTTTAATTTATTCTAATTATTTTAAAATAAAACTGATGGCGTTATCGACGGACCATATCCATCGGTATATTCTAGAGGGTTGGAAAAAATTACTGTAAATACCATTGCTATTGTTATTTAATCGACAAACTTACTAATGGTATTTTATCAGTGATATGTTATATTCACCCTAAGAAATACTAATGGAAAAACAAAAATACAGATGGAATTACAGATGACTTTTCTATTAGTGATATGTTAAATTTACCGATGGAATAGAGTTGATAATTTTTTTAGGCTCGCTTTGTCTTTCATTAAATTAATCATTAAATTTATCACCAATAAACCCACTGATATACCATAAAATATCAATGAGATTTTTTCCAATGAACTATTTTTGTTCATGAGCCTATTGTTAAAATATGTACTGACAGACTATGAGTGTAAATATTGACATATATTTTTGTTTGTTAAACTATTAAATTTGGTAGTGTTATTTGTTTTCCTACAAAATCACCTTTTTGAAAAAAAGTATATAGCTAAGATTGATTAATGTAATTTAAGAAATAAAAACTTATAACATCGATTTTTTTATATCATGGTCACGCTCCTAAACACGATTAATGGGAGGGCGGCCACTCCTAAGAGCAAAACCATGGGGGAGAGTCCGCCAACTCAAGGCCCTTAGTTGATCACATATTTATATATGAATTAAGAAATACAAGTAGTAGAATTCAAATTAGGGATGTCCTGTTTCCCTAGTTGTCTCCTTACTACTTGACTACCACCAACTAGGTTATTAGCTCGTGAATATATGTTTTTTTTTATATATTTTCTCTTTCTTTTCTATTTTGATATAGTAACTAAAAGTTAGTGATAATATTAATATTAACAGTAATTGCTTTACAAGAGTATAAAATATAATATATCCATGTCAAAATAATAGAATCTTAGTATAATTGGACTAAAGGTATTAATTATAGGCATGCCTAATTAGGTTAAAACACCAAAAGAAGAATTAGTAAGGATGCACAAATATGATTTTATATGCTTTTCATAAATTAGGAAAGACATATACCTTTAAAAGAACCCATTTCTTAGCGTAGGGTTTTGACTTGCCTAGCTAAGATAATGAGAAAAGGTTATAGGTCTTTATGGTTCGTATTGAAAAAGCCATATTAAGAAATGGTATCAACTTCGAGCCAATGAGTGTTAATATTAAGACATTTCAAAACTTAACTAGAAGCTATTAAGAAAAAAATGTAATGTAGTATAATCTTTTCAAACACAATTACTACCATTACATTGCATATGGTATAAAGAAATGATACAACAAGCACATCTTTGTACAAAAGAATTCACTATGGATCCACATTCTCAATCCTTATTATATAAAGAAAATCCCTTTCACCAAATTGAATCGAAACTAGAAATTTATTTGTAAATAATAAAGAAAAATAAAAAAGGTAAGTTATTTCATGGTCTTACAATTTCAAACTAACCCTATAAGAGGTTAGTAGTGTTTCAATGGTAGAGGTGATGCATAGATGTGTGGAGGAGGTGATGAGTGAGTTGGGGGTGGTGGAGATTTATAGTAGTAGGGTAGCGGAGGAGATGAAGATGGTGGTGGTGGAGATATATAATAGTATGGAAGGGGTGGGGATTTAACTAAAGGAGGAGGTGATGTGTAATAGTTTAATGGCGGTGGTGATGAAGATGGTGGAGGAGGAGACTTGTAATAGTATAGAGGGGGGGATTTCTTTGGAAGGGGATGAAATGTGTAGTGGTATGGTGGAGAAGGAGATTTCTTTGGAGGTGGAAGAGATGTGTAGTGGTATGGAAAAGGTGGAGATTTCTTTGGGGGGGGGGGGGAGGGGGTGTTGTAATATATGGGGGGGGGGGGGGAGGGGGTGTTGTAATATATGGGGGGGGGGGGGGATTTTTTTGGGGGGGGGGGGGATGTGTAGTGGTTTGGGGGGGGGGGGGGATTTTTTTGGGGGGGGGGGGGGATGTGTAGTGGTATAGAGGTGGGGGGGGTGGGGGGGATGGGGGGGGGGGGGGACGTGTAATAGAATGGGGGGGGGGGGGGACGTGTAATAGAATGGGGGGGGGGGGGGTGGTGGGGGGGGGTTATTTTGTGGGGGGGGGGGGTTGGGGGGGGGGGGGAGATTTTTTAGGTTGTGGAGGGGGGGGGTAGGGGGGGGGGGGGGGTGGTGGGGGGGGAGATTTATTTGGAGGAGGGGGGGATGGGTGGTGGGGGGGGAGATGGGGGAGGGGGAGACTTTTTAGGTGTTAGAGGAAGAGGAGATTTATTTGGAGGAGGTGGAGATGGGTAGTGATATGGAGGGGGGGGGGTAGGGGGGGGGGGGGGACGTGTAATAGAATGGGGGGGGGGGGGGGTGGGGTTTGGGGTGGGGGGGGGGGATTTTTTTGGGGGGGGGGGGAGGGGGGGGGATGGGGGTGGTGGGGAAGGGGGGGGGGGGGAGATTTTTTAGGTTGTGGAGGGGGGGGGTAGGGGGGGGGGGGGGGGACGTGTAATAGAATGGGGGGGGGGGGGGGGGACGTGTAATAGAATGGGGGGGGGGGGGGTTGGGGGGGGGGGGGGATGTGTAGTGGTATGAAGGTAGTGGGAAGGAGGAGATTTCTTTAGAGGAGGTGGAGATGTGGAGTGGTATGGAAAAGGTGGAGATTTCTTTGGGGGGGGGGGGGAGGGGGGGGGGGGGACGTGTAATAGAATGGGGGGGGGGGGGGTTGGGGGGGGGGGGGGGGGAGATTTTTTAGGTTGTGGAGGGGGGGGGTAGGGGGGGGGGGGGGGTTGGGGGGGGGGGGGGATGTGTAGTGGTATAGAGGTGGTGGTGATGCGGATGGTGGAGGAGGAGACTTATAATAATGTGGTGGGTGGGGGGATTTCTTTGGGGGGGGGGGGGAGATTTTTTAGGTTGTGGAGGTGAGGTGTAGGGATATGGAGGAGGAGGAGAGTTCTTTGGAGGAGGTGAAGATGTGTAGTGGTATAGAGGTGGGGGGGGTGGGGGGGGGGGGATTTTTTTGGGGGGGGGGGGAGGGGGTGTTGTAATATATGGGGGGGGGGGGGGGGGACGTGTAATAGAATGGGGGGGGGGGGGGACGTGTAATAGAATGGGGGGGGGGGGGGACGTGTAATAGAATGGGGGGGGGGGGGGATTTTTTTGGGGGGGGGGGGAGGGGGATGGGGGGGGGGGAGACTTGTAATAGTATGGTGGAGGGGGAGACTTTTTAGGTGGTGGTGGTGGAGGAGATTTCTTTGGAGGAGGTGGAGATGTGTAGTGGTATGGAGGTGGTGGTAATGGGGATGGTGGAGGAGGAGACTTGTAATAGTACGGTGGAGGGGGAGACTTTTTAGGTGTTAGAGGAGGAGGTGGAGATGCGTATTGGTATAGAGGTGGTGGTGATGGGGATGGTGGAGGAGGAGACTTGTAATAGTACAGTGGAGGGGGAGACTTTTTAGGTGGTGGAGGTGAGGTATAGTGGTATGCAGGATGAGGAGATTTCTTTTGAGGAGGTGGAGATGTGTAGTGGTATAGAGGTGGTGGTGATGAGGATGGTGGAGGAGGAGACTTGTAATAGTATGGTGGAGGGGGAGACTTTTTAGGTGGTGGAGGAGATGCATACTGGTATGGTGGTGGAGGAGATTTATTTGGAGGAGGTGGAGATGTGTAGTGGTGTGGAGGTGGTGGTGATGGAGATGGTGGAAGAGGAGACTTATAATAATGTGGTGGATGATGAGATTTCTTTGGTGGAGGAGGTGAAGTGTAGTGGTATGAAGGAGGGAGAGATTTTTTTGAAGGAGGTGAAGATGTGTAGCTGTATAAAGGTGGTGGTGATGGAGATGGTGGAGGGGGAGACTTGTAATAGTATAGTGGATGGAAGAGTTTTTTTGGTAATGGAGGAGATGTGTAATAGTATGACGGTGGAGGAGATTTCTTTAAAGGAGGTGGAGATATGTAGTGGTATGGACGTGATGGTGATAAAGATGTTGAAGGAGGAGACCTGTAATTATAATATGATGGATGAGGGGATTTCTTTGGTAGGGGAGGTGAAGTGTAGTGGTATGGAGGAGGAGAAGATTTCTTTGGATAAGGTGGAGATTTATAATAGTATGGAGGTGATGGTGTTTGAGATGGTGGAGGAGGAGACTTATAATAGTATGGTGGATGAGGGGATTTCTTTGGTGGTGGAGGAGATTTATAGTGGTATAGTGGATGAGGGGATTTCTTTGATGGTGGAGGAGATGTGTAATGGTATGTTAGTGGAGGAAATTTCTTTGGAGGACGTGGAGATGTGTAGTGGTATGAAGGTAGTGGTGATGAAGATGGTGAAGAAGGAGACTTGTAATAGTATGATAGATGAGGGGATTTCTTTGGTGGGGGAGGTGAAGTGTAGTGGTATGGAGGAGAGGGAGATTTCTTTGAAGGAGGTGGAGATGTATAGTGGTATGGAGATGGTGGTGATGAAGATGATGGAGAAAGAGACTTGTAATAGTATGGTAGATGAGAGGATTTCTTTAGTGGTGGAGGAGATTTGTAGTGGTATAGTGGATGAGAGGATTTCTTTGGTGACGGAGGAGATTTGTAGCGGTATAGTAGATGAGGGGTTTTTGTTGGAGGAGGTGGAGATGTGTAGAGATATGATGAAGGTGATGATAAAGATGAAGGTGGTGGAGATTTATAATAACGTGGGGCAGAAGATTTCAACAATGGAGAAGATGATTTATAATAATAAGGCTCGTAAGCCACCACACTGGTGGCTACAAGGCAAATTGTTATAGCATGTATCATTAGGGACAAATGCCCCGACTTCCCCCGTTTTCCCATCCTTAGAGAACTCTTGCTTTGTGTTTGCATGGTTAGCATGAATACTAGCCCTTTATATAGGGAAACCTTCAATCATTGTTGACAAAGACATGTTTTCCCATGATTATTACAGCCTGGATTAAAGCATAAAAATATGTTCCAAATCTGACTGAGCTGCAACCTCCTCATTGTTAATGTTTTTGTCTACTTGTTATTAGTGGTTTCCCACTAATTTTATCAATAATGCATATAATAAACCTAGAAATTGTCAGCTTGAGAGCTGGTGAGTTGCCATTTTCCGTGTTAGAACTGTAAACGCGTTTACCTACAGCAGCTTGGTCTGAATGTATTACAAAAATATGATAATAGAGGTGGCGAGGAGAAGTGATCCGTGAGACAAAGATCATAATTTCAAGTCAAAGATTTCCATTTTACTCTAAAAGATTGTTGCCTTCTAATTTAGATTTGTTAAATTCTTGAGGTTTTATGAGGAAGGTAGCAAGTTACTTCAGTACGTACCATGATCCAAGGAAGTTCTAAATAACAAATCTATGTATGATCAAAGTAGTATATCTCACAGTCGGTGAATTTAATAAACAAAATGGAACAATAAATATTAAAATATTCTTTAAAATCTAATCCCAAGTACTAATTTATAAAGATTTGTCAGCAAATTCTAGTAGAGTGAATCATGTGTTGATTTTAGTTAATCCATTCATAATTGACTTCATCAAGCAACGGGACACGAAATTATATTAATCTTGCTTCTTGAAAATCTACATTAATTATTTTCTTGTAAATGTTTTCATTGCAGTTTTTGGGATAAATTAGATTATTATGCCCACTCGAAAAATGATGTTTAGTTTATTTTCAACTCACCCAACTATTTATCTCTAATTAATCCAGCAGGCACTAGCTTCCTTTAGATAATTTGTTAAATAATTTGTTCAGCAATTATTCTGCAGAATTCCACTCAAGAACAGGAGATCCCTAATAAAATAGGCAAAATTGTACTTATGAAGGACAACATTTCCAATAAAAGGATGGTGACTCGCTTTCTATCTTCCATTAATTACTTAAATTGATCCATTATTCTGTAAAAGTTAAGGGAGATGGTCATTTCAGACGTAATAAACCATAACACTTAGCAGCCCCTGTTGAGTTTGTTGATTAGGGGGTCAAAAGTGATTTGCTCATACTCCATATATAATGTTGTTCGTACATGTATAACTATATAGTATTGTCATTGGCATAATCAATTTTCTTTTCTTCTTCTTTATTTTATTTTTTAATAAACACAACATGGATATTTACAATTTTTTTTAAAACTAATTGTACCAGGTCACGTTAGCATGTAGATTGATAGGGCTTAATTACTTTCATTTTTTTAGAAGATGCCTTGTTTAACATTCTATAAAAATTAGAAACTTTTTTTCATTTTTTGTTTGATTTATTAGTAGCATAATTTTAAAATTCAATTTAAAAATTAATTTGGAGTAAAAGCAAAGTCACAAGTTGAGAGAGATTAACCATAATTAACCTGAATTCTTTTTTTAAAGGATCAAAATAATATTGTTTTGGGTTAACTATAATTAACCTGAATTCTTTTAAAGGATCAAAATAATATTGTTTTGACTAATTTTTTTAAAAAATATTAGAGTTTTTTTGTCTTAAATTTTATTAGATTGACAAGTTACTATGTTAACCCAAGTTTTTAACGGTTTATTATAAAATACAAATTAAGGCTAATATAATTTAATGCTGATCATCGAACAATGATCTTTACTTTGCATATTAAAAGACGAGAAGATCATTATCATCAGAATAATGTGTAATTAAATCTGTGGAAAAAAAGTGTTACCTTTATATATAATCCCTATCTGCTCTGCTTTCTATTGCATAATTCAAAGAATATACAAACACATCTGTTATACCCGGCCTGTTTAGCCCGTGAACCTTTAATTCAATTTAAATTAATTATTTTTATTAAAACAATATATATTTTTAATTCTTTTATTGTTGGTTTGATTAACTTAGCTGGTCAATTAAATTACATGTCAACTTGAATGAATTGACTAAGTCTTATCATATATATTAATTTTATTTTTAAATTTAAAACTTGATTTGAGTTGGGTTTTATATCATGTGAGGAGGAGGTTTCTTAGATTAATCTATCTGACCGAGTTTAAACTATATGCATGTGTGTATATCTACATATATTATATTAGTTTGTAGATAATAATGGAAAGAAAAATCAACTCTTATTTGCAAAATTGAATTGAGTGATTCTTGCGACTTCACGATGACCTGATCATTCATGTAAAGTGCCTCTGTCAGCTTAGTAGTGTAACATGCATGCACGACTTTTACCAGTTAAAACTTGGATTATACACTTTGTTAATTTAATTTATGCCAGGCTGAATGTTTCTAGATAGAAACTCTCAAGCAATAGTGCATGCATGCCATTGCCATGAAATGTTCGATTTTATTGAGGTATTCATATCAACAACCAAAAGATATAAACAATCCATTTGGATAGTTATCTCGTATTTATTTCTTATGAATGATGTAGCAATAAACTTAAGGTTAAACGAGCCAAAATTATCTTGAATTTTAAAAGGAATAATTTTTTAAAATAAAAAAAAATCACGATTACAATTCACAATAATTTATTTTTTGGTGAACAGGGAAATACCGTAGCTTTTAGAGTATTACTTAATTGTTGAATGATTTAGCGATAAACTTAAGGTTACACGAGCCAAAATTATCTTGAATTTTAAAAGGAATAACTTAACGTTTTTTAAAATAATAATAAAAAACAAATCACTATTACAATTCACAGTAATTTACTTTTTGGTGGACAGGGAAATATATAGTATTTTCTCGTAGCTTTTAGAGTATTACTTAATTGTTAGAAGGAAAACAACACAACATGCATTCATTCTTGTCAACTAATCCAGTGGTATATGGGAAAAGAAGAAGAAGAAGAGGCTAGGTCAACAATATAAAGTTGAACAATCAATGAGTATAATGCAAGAGTGAACACAAGATTGCTGCATGAAGTACTCACGAAGGATTGCTGCTGAATTTGATGCTGGAAACACGCAAGGAAGGTCTTGAAGAGTTGGCTTGACATGGAGCAACTAGCTATTTTTACTATAAAAATCTTTGTGATTTTCTTTATTTTTATTTTATAACTGTTGTGGCTGTATATCTTTTGTATTTTATACCTTACGTTACTGGACACCGAGTTTTTATGGTTTTATATTAGTTAAAGTTCATAACTGTTGTGGCTGTATACCTTTTGTATTTTATACCTTCCGTTACAGGACATGCACCAAGTTTTTATGGTTTTATATTAGTTAAAGTCGAAGAGGGAGCTCTCAATTCTCCTCTAGATAATAAGTAGCTTAATTGCAGGCGTTACTCTCCGAGTTTCTATTTTAATTAGTCAATTAATGTGTTATTTAATTTTAAGATTTTGCATTTATATATATGCACATAAGCAGTTTATTTGATTTACGTAAAAAGCTTATTAGATACATGAAAGACAAATTATTTTCATAATAAAATAGAGAATAATGCATCATTGACATAGAAACACAATTGCTCGAGGTAATTAAACCGATTCTAAAAGTTTCTCAACCTAAGATTACTTCTTTGTTTATGTATTTTTTATATTAGCATGATTTAAAAAAAATTACATGACTTGAAAAGCAGTTGAAATAAAAATTTTTTTTTAATAATTTTTATGCTAATACAAGAAAAAATAAAAGAATAATTAATTTGAAAGGGTTACATAAAATCTTCACCAAATAAGTATTTATTTTCATTGATTATCTATGAGGATTTTTTTAAAATAATACATTTTAGTTTTATATCTAATTAATTATTCATAAAGTAGCTAATAATATCATCATTAAAAATCTCAATTAATATCATTAAAATATTTAATTTTATTTGAAAAATTAGTATCATTGTATTATTTCTAAAACATTATTGTAATTTTTTTATTTAAAAAATATTAAAAACTTAAAGGCCAAATGTATGGGCAAGGGAAAGGGCTATTCCATGTCCATACATTTGGACTATTTTTCTTTATTCCATGTCCATACAATTGGCAAGTCGAAATTTTTTAGGACCGAAGTATCAAAATCGAGCATTTATGCTGAAATCCGTGAAAGATGAGGAAAAATATAGTAAATGCTATAGAATTTTCCATTTCCTGTTTCAGTTTATACAGTAATTGTAATTGTAATGTATCCAATCACCCTAAATGATCTCTTGGTTGCATGGGAAAATATATAAATTGCCAGTTTTCTAGCTACAGTGCCGTACTTCATTGAATTAATTAAGGCTAAAATGTGTACAATATCCTACAAATCATGACATGATCGTTTGGATATGACTAATTAGTATGATAACCATTTTCCATACAATGATGTTTTAGATATGTCAATGAATATTTAGCTCAATCAACTAGCAATATAGTTATTTAAATATAGCTGTTAAATCTGTTAAACTTTATAATATGTTTGAAAATGATTTCAATTCGATAAGTAAATAGGATTCAATTGAGTTATAATTAAATTCAAGTGACTGGAGCTAATAATGAGAATTGTTGAGTTTAAATGAGTTTTTTTTATCTTTAATAAAAAAATTTCTTTACTGCGCCTCATTCTAGCTTATAATCTTCTGACATGTTCTTGAATCTTAAAAATCATAATAAATGGAGAGGGAAAGAAGAGTTTGCTTTCACAACTTCTTCTTCAACAATATCCAAATTCATTTGAAACCTAATTAGAACAAGGAAACCAATTTTTCTTTTTAGTTTTCTTTCTCTCTCTATAGCTTTTTTTTTACTGGCCGATCTATGATCGTCTTTTAAAAAAAACAAGGAAGCCTAATTTCTCCAAAATCAAAAAATCAAGTTACTAGCTTATAGTTAAAAAGAGACATAAAATTAGAGATTTGTAACATAATTTTTTCAAAACAAAATCCTTCAACCTTTATTATGATAAAAGAAGTAGTTTTAAACGTGTTAGATTAATTAATTGAATTAGATTTTAATACCGAATTGTGGCTTCTCAAGATGGGTTGTGGAGTGGTAATAAATGAGCTTGTTATAAAATACTCATTTATATTGTTGAGAATCCGAACCTTACCTATATTGACTATAATTAGTGGCATATTTGTGTCTCTAATCTTTGATTCTAATACAAGAACAATTGACAAGAATAAATGGTTTAACCTATTAGTTAGTAAATTGTTTTTATTTATATATGCAGGGTAGTGTATATTATTTAATGTAGAGATTACAACATAAGATTAAACCTATTAATATTTTTTAAATATATACATTCTATATTGTGTAATTTCTTCTAATAGATTTTCTCAAGTTAAGGGTGGAGGATCAACCCGAAGCTTAAACAAAAAGTCAATAAAATAAACAGTAGAAAGTGATTTCATAAGAACATCAACAAGTTAATCCTTGAAAGAGATAAAATAAATCCAAATGTTCTTCTTGGCAAACCTATCATATACAGAATGATAATCAACCTCAACATTTTTCATGTACAGAATGATAATCAACCTCAACATTTTAATATGAGCATGAAAGATAGGATTCACATATAAATAAGTAGCACCTAGACTATCACACCAAAACATATGCACAGAAGTAAAAGTAATCTGCATATCTAACAATAAGTATTAAAGCCAGATGACCTTAATAGTATCGTTGATCAAGGCTTTATACTTGGCCTTAGTAGAAGAACGAGTAACCATGTGTTGCTTGTTTGATTTCTATAAAATTGGTATATGATAAAAAAAGACAAGATATCCACCCATAGAATTATGATCATCAACACTACTAGTCTAGTCAACATTCATAAAACCATGTAAGCCAAAGAAGAAGCTACAGGTGATATGTAAGCCAAAAGAAACTATATCCTGAAGATAATGTAGAATATGTTTAATGACAGTCTAATATGCAGATGTAGGAAAATGAATAAACTAACAGACATTATTAACAAAAAAAATATATTCAGTATTGTAAATGAGATACTAAAGAGCATCGAAAATTTGACAAAACCATATAGGATCAGAAAACAAGAAATTGGACATTATAATAACCTTTGAGGTAGAGATAAGAGTATCAACATGTTTTCAAAAAGAAATGTTAGCTTGAGTAAGTATGTAAAAAATATGCTTATCTTATCATAACATAAGACCCATACTAGTTGACTGAACCTCAATCCCTAAAAAATATTGAACAGCTTCTAAATTTTAAAGCTTAAACTCTAAATTAATTAGTGAAGCAAGATGGGGTTATTGCCTATAAGCAAGATATCTTCAATGTAAACCAGAAGATAAAAGATATTAGAACCTGTGGACAAGATAAATAATAAAGTGTCAACCTTAAAAGCTTGAAAGCCAATAAAGAAAAGATAATCACTTAAGCGAGTATACCATGCTCGGGGAGCTTATTTTAAGCCATATAAAGACTTATGTAATCAACACACTTGATAAGAAAGAGTAGAATCAACAAAACTTGGAGGTTGTTGCATGTAGACCTATTCAACAAGTGTCACATTAAGAAAGACATTATGTATATTAAGTTGATGAATAGCCCAAGCACTCAAAACTACAATGGAGAAAAACAACTAAACAATCAGTTGTTTAATGATAGGAGTAAAAGTCTTAGATTAATCAATATATTACTATTAATTTGGGTCCAATTGTAGGATTTAATTAAATATAAAGAATTAATTATACTTTAAATGGGTCAAATTAACTTTATTTAGGGCTTAATTGGTGAAAAATTAAGTTTGGGAGCCTAATTTGAGCTTAATTGAGAAGATTTGAATTTTAAAAGATCAGATTTAATTTTTACCAAGTTAATTAATTGAAATTAGAGACCAAATTGCAAGAAAATTAAAGTTTTAGGGTCTAAATTAAAGAAATTCACAGCTAAGAACCAATTTGCAAAAGGTGTCAAACTTAGAGGCTTAATTGACAAAAACCGAGGGTGAAATTGAAAGTTTAAAGGTCATTTATAGGTTCAATTGCATAAATCTGACACTAAAGACCATTTTGCTGAAGGCACATAAATACGGGGCTGAAGTTAAAGTTCTGCAGGGGCCCAATTACATTAAATCAAAAGTTTAGAGTCAGTTAGGAGTTCAATTAAAACAAATTGAAAGCTAGAGGACTTAATTGCAAATTAGTAAAAATCCCTAATTCAATCCAAAATAAAACAGTTTTGAATATATATATATATATATAGAGGACCAGATGACGCGTCATCTGGTCACTATTCATATGCTTCTCTAATTTTGTCCAAGAACGCTGCTCGGGTAACTATTTTTCTGGTGTATTTAATGCTTTATTGCTCTATTAAATATAACAAAACATGCATACAAATGATCCCTTGTAGTTTTTTTATAACTCTAAGTGAACATTTCAATTTGAATGACAATGAAATGGTGTCGGCCTAAACAGGCCAACTCATGCAGCCTCTTTCTACAAATTTGATAACTCAGAATGCCTACTTTGAGTCAATGGTTGAGATTCTTCAAACTTGAATCAAAGGCTAACATTTTTCCAGTATAAATAAGATTGACTGCTTCCACTGCCTATAAATAAAGGTGAATTTCATGTCTTTAAGAAGGGGGAAATCGGGTCCAAATTCAGTAAAAAAACAGCATTTCTACCCTGTTTCTACAACTTTTTTCTCTCATTCTCTCTCCTCGCCATTTCAGCCACCAACCAAAGCCACCACTAGCTCCACCACAAGAAGCCACCAAGCAACCATCGAGAGCTACCATGAACCTTTCTCTCTTCTCTGCACATCGATTTCTTCTTTCTCCCGCAATGACTCTGGTGGCCAAAACTCTCCACAACGCCGCCATCAGCCTCTCATCTTCAATGGCAAGACCACCTCCAACTTCACTCCAGGCTAGTGACAACATTTCCTTCTCCTCTTCAAAGTTGCTTCGCACTTCCCTCTGCTGGCTACAAGTGCAAAGTTGTATACAGAATATGAACTTACTGTTCATGTTCTATAAATAATTCATTTCTCACTTGGGCTGGGTCAGTTCTGGCTCAAACCAAATAAGTAGGTTGGGTCTAACCGAGCCTCTAAAAAAGAGAGAAAGAAGATATGTTGGATTTATATCGACCTACTGTTTCCTAGGTTTATGCCTAGCCCTGTTATTTGAGCTAGGTCAGCCCACATGTCTTAATAATATTTAATTAATATATATAATATTATATTATATATTTCTTAAAAAAAATTAGAAATAAATTCAAAAATCCTTTAAAAATAATTGTGATTTTCTCAAATATTTTCTACCAATTTTGCATAATATCAAGTGTATTGACACTATAAAATACAAATCTGGTATTAAAATACTCGATTTTATCATAAGCATTTAAAAAAAAATCAAAACATTTTCAAAAGAAAATCTCAAAAACTTTTAAATTAATTTTTCCTTTTAAAAAAATTATTTTTATGCATACGATCAAATCCTAAAAACATTTGAAACATGTTTTCATTAAAAAAGATTGCATCTTTCTCATGTTTTGAAAATCCAAAAAAATAGATATCATAACCAGTTTATGATCATCCATTAAAGTTTGGCCAAAATATTAAAAATCCTTTTTCCAATCTTTTTTTAGGATCTACATATAAACTTTAATATTTGTGTAGTGTAAAATTCTACGATATAATACACCCTCAATATTAATGATACAAGGTGTAAATAAATATGATGCTGAAATTCATACTTTAGAACGATTAAGATTTAATCTGCTAAGGTAGAGACTCTCTTATGAAAAGAGATCTGCCTTAAATATTAGAAAAGATCAATGAATAGAAGCCTAACTTAGAAAAAAATAATAATTAAACAACAATGTAGCTTATCTTAGGTAAGGTGTACTGGAGGTGATGTGTGTGTCCTTTACACAATCAGTCTCTTACCCAGATTCTCACAGACCATAGGTTCCTAGTGACCTTATTATTAGGTGGCGACTCCTAAATATTAATCATAATTTTATGATTAAATCCAAAAACACTTCCTAACACACAACACCTTATATAAGAGGCACGAAAAAAGCCTTCATCGTCGCCAGATGATGTCGTGTTGCTCGCAAACCTGCGACAACATCTAGAATTAATGTAATATTTGTTTCCTAATAAGAGCTGCATATAGACGATATATATATATGCCTCCTTTGTTAACCTAAAAAGAGAAGAAGAAAAAGGATAGAAAGGCAGGTAATACGAGGCAGAGAAAGGAAAAAAACACAGAGGTAAGAGAGGAAGGAGGCAGAAAGTTAGAAAGCAGAAGGAAACAGATGGAAAAGATTAAGTTTTCTTAAGATTATCAAAAGTAAGAACAAGTAGGGACTACCTTTTGGTCTTTACTCCATGTTCTATAAATAAAATCTGTAGAATAGGGAAGAATATAGGAGTTAAAACCAATAGAGAGAGGGATAAAAATATAGAGATAAAGCTCAAGAGATGGATGGCAATAGAGAATAAAGAGGAAAAAGCCGAAACAAACGACAACATTGATAGACTAGCCAGTATGGCTTCCCCGTCGCCGTCTTCCCTTTTCTTTTCTACCTCCAAGTATGTTCCTCCCATCTCTTTGCATACATTTTCCTTTACAATAACTGGAAAGTTTTCATTGAATAATAACTGAGCCATTTTTATGTCCAGCCAAGTCACTTACTTGGGTAAGTGACTCGGTCGGACATACTAGTTCCAACTTTTTTTTTCTTTCCAAAAAAAATAAAAGAGAGAGAGATTTATGATTTTCTAGCATATTTATTTTAAGGTTTGAATTATTTTATATTGTAAAAAAATATCAATCTCACATTTATAATACCTAATTTTCAAAGCAAATGCAGCAAATACACGCACGTGCGCGCACATATGTTTTCATGTAAACGTTCAATACCCTAACATATTTTGAATTTTATTTTTTTTAAATAATAAATATTAAAAGTTAAAATAATATGTTTTAGCATGGATTTCTTAAACACAAAAAATTATTTTATTACATACTGGATTTTACAACATGTTTATAAAACTCTAGAGGGTGTTGATCAATATTTCAATAAATATAAAAATCTTATTTTAGGGAGAATTCATATATTATTCGCCATTAATGTTTGGATAAAGAAATCCCAAAAGGATGAATATCCAAAATATTATTAGAAATAACTTGTTATTATTCACTATTAATGTTTAGGTAAAGAAATCCCAAGTGGTTAATGTCCAAACTATTTTTCTAGAAATAATAAGTCATCACACATCCTTGAAAGAAGTCTCAATTATAATTAAGAACATTTCAATTTTTTTAATCTATAATTTACGAATCGTGAGAGTATGAAACGTTTAGGTAAAAATAGGCTTTTAAAGCGCTCTAAAGTTCCTTAGATTTCTAAATTTTTATCCCTTTTCCTTGCAATTTACAAGTCGCGAACACTTGAAATACTAAGGGAAAAATAAGCTCTTAAAGCACATTGAATCTTTTTAGATTTCTATTTTAGTTATTTTTTAATTCATAGGTTATAAATTTATTTCAAATCAAACATAAATTTTAAGAGATCTGCATCATTTCTTCTTGGCATTTTGCAGACATATCTAAAGTTATAATCTATATTGGCCAAGGGTTCTTGCTTTTAGACTTTGAACCCATCTCATTCATCATAGCAAACCCATCGTAAGAAAACTAATTAGAGAACACCAATACCATAATAAGGCAAACCAAACACTAAACAACTTACCTTAGGTAGGGTGTACTAGAGGTGATAATACATTCCCTTTACACAACCAGTCACTTACCTTAGAATCTCTAAAAGACCAGTTAGGTTTCTTAGTAACCATAATACTAGATGGCGACTTTCTTATTCACAAAAAAAAAAATCGACATGAATCCCTGCTCTCGGGGAGGTTCGCTGCGACACCACGCTCTGCACGAGGATGCGACACTAATGATAACATATACTTGGAAGAGTATTGTTTCAACTGGAGGCACATATGTGGCTAATTGACAATCTAAGTTGAGGTCAGCGCTAAACAACCTCTTAATGGGCATTTGCAAAAGGCGCATAGTTAATCAAAGAATGGTTCTCAAGAGAATCTAGGAGATGAATGATTTGTTATGCTTTTAATGATGAATAAAGCAACACCACACTTGGGGGAAAAGTCAAACTGGATAAACAACGAGAGCAATAACCGTCAAAGATAGCCTGATGGTCATTGCATTTATAGTTGAATAGATGGCCATTGCATTTACAGTTGAATGGATGGCTAGCACATGAATGAGCAAATGCATGAAAAAGCAAATAAGGCTTTGGAATGCAAACAAAGGCACCCTATGACGATGGTGAATTAAAGAGAGGGGACCTATATTTCAAATCAGGTAAGGATGCATGCATGTCATCTAACCTCAAAGCATTGCATATATTTATGATTTGTTACAGGAAAATCCTCAATAAAGTCCAGTAAGATTGAAAAGAAAAAGAAAAAAAGAATTATTGAGTTAATAATAACAAAAAATTATGGATTTTGATCTTAGAACAAGAAGAGAATGAGATGGACCTTGCCATTAGAAAAATCTCAAAGAAATAAGGAAATCAACCCTATCATCAAGAAGAGTCTTCAGGTCAACCCTGCAATAAGAAAATGTCGAGTTTTTCAGCCTTATCCTATCAAGACTTCTCTAGCCAAGTCTTTTTTCAGGTAAGTCACTTTCTATATTTTGGGTAAGTTGTTCATTATAATGAGACTATTTTTTATCTTTCACTTGGTTAGTTATTCATTATAGTAAGACCATCTTTTTATTTTTTATCTGGGTAGGTCACTCATCACAATAAGAAGAAGATTTCTTATTGTCCTAGTGAAAAGTAATGGTAGGAAAGGGAGATGGTGGAGGTGGAGACTTATATATGTACGAAGAAGGAGGAGGAGATTTCTTTGGCGAGAGAGGTGAAGAGTAGTGCTACGAAGGTGTTATATATGTATGGAGAAGGAGGAGGAGATTTCTTTGGCAAGGGAAGTGAAGAGTAGTGCTACGAAGGTGAGGGGGAGGGAGATTGTAGAGGTGGAGACTTGCATACATACAAAGGTTGGGGAGACTTCTTTAATGGAGGAAGTGAAGAGTAGTGGTATAGACATAGAGGGGAGCGAAATGGTGGAGGTGGAGACTTGTATACATATAGAGGTGGGGGAGATTTCTTTAGTGGTGGAGGTGAAAGTTAGTGGTACGGAGGTGGCAGGAAGGGAGATTGTAGAGGTGGAGACTTGTATACATACGAAGGTGAGGGAGACTTCTTTGGCGGGGTAGGTGAAAAGTAGTGGTATGGAGGTGCGGGAGACTTCTTTGGTGAAGGAGGTGAAGAGTAATGGTACGGAGGTGGCGGGGAGGGAGATGGTGGAAGCGGAGATTTATGTACTTGTGGAGGAGGAGGAGGTTCCTTTAGCGCGGGAGTTGAAGAGTAGTGGTATGGAGGTGACAGGGAGAAAAATGATGAAGGTAGAGACTTGTATAAATGTGGAGGGGGGGAGACTTTTTTAGCAGGGGAGGTAAAGAGTAATGGTACGAAGGTGGCGAGAAGGGATATTGTGGAGTTGGAGGCTTGTATACATGTGGTGGAAACTCGTATGGTGTAGTTGGAAACTTGTATATATATAGAGGTGGTGGAGACTTTTTTGGTAGGGGAGGTAAAGAGTAACGGTATGGAGGTGGAGGGAAGGGAGACGATGGAGGTGGAGATTTATAGATATAAGTAGGGGGGGGGGGGGGGGGGTTTTTTGGGGGGAAAAACAAG